TATGTATATGTGTGTGTGTGTGTATATGTGTGTGTGTGTGTGTAGAGGGTTGACGTTACAGAGCTGAAGCGCTAGTGAAGGCTTCATTCATAAGTCAGTATTTAGCAGACCTTTGGTTTTTAAAACTGATGGTCAGTTGTTCCGCTGGTCACAGGAAGCACTATTGTTTGACCGTCCACATGGGCCTGATCTTTAACACACATCAAGAAATGTGTTTCTAGTCTGATAAATGTTCAACAAACGCTGTTCAAGTGCTGACATAAACCTGTGAATTCCTGTGTTCTCTCTAAATGTCGGGTGAATGTCAGACAGCAGTCGAAACGTGGCCCAATTCACCCTTTCTTCACATTACAGTGTTTGTTGTGTGAGAAAACACTGCAGAATCTCTTTTACTGCTGTAAGACTTAAAGCTCATTTACTGTCTGCTGTGTTTAGAATTTAGAACACGTTTATCAGACAAAATATACTACTGGCCAAAAATTTTAATGTTTTTGAAAGAAGTCTCTTCTGCTCACTAAGGCTGGATTTATTTGATCAAAAATACAATAAAAAATGTGAAATATTATTCTAATCTAAAACAGCTGTTTTCTATGTGAATCTCTGTTAAACTGTAATTTATTTCTGTGATCAAAGCTATATTTTCAGCATCATTACTCCAGTCTTCAGTGTAGAGGTCTGCGCGGGACTGTTTTTTTAGTCCCGCTCCCGCTATATATTCACTCTTTGTTCACCCGCTGTCCGCTTAGAATAATTTTCTTCCCGACCCAACCGTTCCCTCTAAATTTAGATCTCGTTTCCAGAATCTCACATTTAAATTTCCGCTACTGAAAGAAAGAGAGATAGGCTGACAAATAAAAGTGTAGTCTGCACAAAATTGTATGTTATTTTATTCGTCTTGTCAAGAGTCTTGAATTTATTGACTTTGACTTGAATTTATATGAATTATCTTAAGACACAAAATTAGTTTAATATTTTATGCAACACAGTAGGAAAAAAAGTGTCAGAGAAAATAAAAATGTTGTACAAAAATTGTATGCTATTTCTTATTTTTATTCATCTTGTCAGGATACAATTCGTTTAAAATTGACAACACAATAGGGAAAAGGTGTCGCAGAGAGAGAGAGAACAAATGTAGGTTGTACAAAAATAGCCCA